GACATCAAACCAATGATTAGCAGCTACGCCACCTGAATTTATATTTTGTGCCCAAAGTTACTTTCTGATAGTTTGAGTGTAGCCCCCTTGGACCTGGCCTCGACTATGCATATGATATTGGTCTGGAGATGGCGTCCCGTATAACTCCTGCCCTTTACCAAGTGAAGCTTTTGCCAAGGGGGGGGGGGGGGCTTTTTGATAATTTTGGCTAAAAGAACGCTCGAAAAGTGCTCAGGATGATGAAAAACTGAAAAACTCCTATTTTTAAGATTTTAAGATTACTTCCTTGCAGATCAAGCCTCTGCTATGATTTCAGAACTGAAATGTCTCAGACGACATCGTTGACATGTTGATGTAGCTGAGATCCAAATGCGTGTGTTCCGTAAACATGCTCTTTCTTACTACAGTGATGTTGCACATTTTTATTGCTTCGCCTGGTAGCCCTTTCAGAAAAAGGATGGCAACTTTATTAGGGTTACATCCAAATCGTCTATAACAACATACTCTGAAATAATACAAATGAGATGCAGATTGTGCTTTGATAGTTGAGACAGAACCAATCAATATTGGCTATATTGAAATATTGACATTACATCTATTTTTATAGAAGAGATTGTGTTTATCTAAAATAAAGAAAACATGAAATGCCATATGGTTTGCCATAAGGTAAAGTCAGAAATACCGTTGTCACAAATGGCGGACTTAACCGTCGCTTCATGATTTCAACTCGTTAGTTAATCACCTGGTCCTCGTTTCATGGTACCTTATCGTCCTTAATCCCGTGTATGTATGAAGCTTGTGAAAAAAATTTCGATCAAATGTGGTCTTGTCAATTCGTCGAGGGTTACCGTTGATATCCCGATTTTACAGCACATTTGACCTAGATTTACCGTTGTCATTTATACGGTATCCGTTGTCTCGCATCGTATTTTCATTGGTGAAATCAAAGGTTTAATTTCGATGATAGACCATATTTAACTGTATGATAAGTAGCAAGACTCTTTGAATGATAGTTGGACTTAATCTAGGTGCTCTATTAAGCAAACATGCAATATAAACCGAATCGAATACCAACTTGTGGCCGCCATTTGTGACAACGGTAACTGACACCTGTTGTCAGGGTGTTCCGATCTGATTCTTAAGACCGACCGATTGAGTCCTGTATTGGACATAAAGCATAAAATAAAGGAAGGCGGACTTGTTTTAAGTAAGAAATGCTAATAATATCATCCAAAGGTTAGACTGTCTAAAATCACTTGCCATACTGCACATGGACCTTTAGGATGATCGCGCCTTTTTCAATACATTCGGATCTACGGCGTTCGACAATTGTTGTGAAGCTCCATCTTTTTAATCAGATCAGGGAATGGAATTCAGTGTCGTATGTCGTTGCGAGTTTTAATAATGATAATCGTTGTTGGAGTTTCGTAATAGTAATTCCAATATTATATTCGATTAAATTCTCGAATACCAGAAATTCAAAATTACAATATATATTCATTTCAATAAATCCGTTCACTGGGTTTGAATAACTTTTTCTCTATCTCATTATAACTCTAAAATATATACTAATAACTATTTTGGCATCATGATCCCTTTCTCAGGTGCTACTAATGAGCATAAGATTGATATCTGATCTACAATTAATCAGAAAATACAAATTGGAAATTGAGAGTGTTTGAAAGTTATGAGCGAGATTCAGAAATAGATATCTATGGTTATAATGACATTCGACAATGTTATTTTCGGGATCACTGCAAAGAATTAAAGAATTAAAGTCCCTAGAGGAATCCACTTTCCATTTAGGAAATAGAACATGTCTAAAAGCACTTCTAATCATGCATTCAATATTATAATAAAAAGTTGCATTTTTAGCGAAAAATCAGGTCAACATTTTTAAAAAGTATGTTGATCGGTCCATCGCCCTTTTTATATCACTAAGTCTGATTAGCTTAATCATCATGTAGGTATTTCTTAGAGATAATGATTGGGTCTAAAAGATACACCCGTGTTCATGATCAAAACATATTCACAATTCAAGTTAAGATCGTCTGAACTTTTAAGGAACATCTACCACAATATTGAATAGATATGGTGATATATGTGAAAGATAGATGGTGCAATCATATTGTGGCGCACAAATCAACTGTCGGCCCCGATTTGCATTTTCATCCAAGTAATTTGATTAGATTTTCAAACTAAGAATCCTCCCTGAAAATTTGAAATTGATCCCTCAAATGGTTAACCTGAAAACGCGTAGACAAGACTTTACAAACAATATATTTTGATGGAAAATCCAAAATGACTGACTTAAAATTTACCCAATTTGCCGAAAAACTGATCACTTCAAGACTTATAAATCTAAAAACCATACCTGAACATTTGAAATTATTCCGTCAAATGGTTATCCTGAAAATGAGTAGATAGACTTTACAGACGAGATTTTAGGACGGAAAATCCAAAGTGGCCTACTTAAAATTTACCCAGAATGCCGAAAAGCTAATCAGTTTTAGATTTTTATACTACTAGGAACCAGCTGCCCTGAAAATTTGAAATTGATCCGTCATAAAATAAACCTGAAAACGAGTAGAATAGACTCTACAGACGCGATTTTAGGTCGGAAAATCCAAAATGGCTGCCTACGTCGCTACGTCGTTACTACAGTCTCAGCTGTAGAGTGGCTAGCCCTTATGTCTCTGGAGTACATGTAGAGCTTCTGCCTTATGAGCTGAGGGTACTGGGTTCGATTCCTGTACCGGTCATTGGATTAAGTGCACTCCCTTTCATATCTAGTATCCGGCTAGTTAGAGTACAGCACCCCGGACGATAAAGTGAATCATTGGTATGTTTTTGTCTTCCACAAATCAGATCGTCTATTTTCTGTTCATGATTATACAATAATGAACAGCTTCAGAATTCCATCACGACATCGGTCTTTATTCATTTTTTACCTTGAAACGTATAAGTTAGATATCAAAATAATTGGACATTTTCCTTTTATACCATATCATATGTTGATTGAACATTTAGAATCCTAATTATTGATATTCATCATAAAGAACACGCAATTACGCGTCTATGAAAAACATCTGGGGAAAGATTCCAAAAAACACGTTTAGGTAATAAAACGCCGTCAAACAAATATATAGAAAGAGATTTTATCTGGTGAATTAATTGGTGAACTGGGTGCAGATATCGAGATATGTATATTTATGATATGAATAACTCAGTATATTACTGTAAGCAAATATTTCATTCTATGGAGGGCAATACCTGTTCAACTTCAATGATTTTTGCAGTATATTTTGCCCGCAGCCCGAAGACATTCTCTATGATCATTTATTTTAATCAATAAATATATCACAAACCGCTAAAGTGAAAAGCCAACTATACTTAATTTATAAGAAAAAAGAAAAAAATAATCATTGAAACACGTTGCTCACACATTCGCACAAATATGATACAAAGAAATAAAGCATTTGAAGCTCAGCGATCATTTATTTAGTAATGCACGCACATGCTAAACAAAGCGCTTGTTTTAAATTACTTTTGATTTAAAAGATGGCAACACTTCTATAAAAAAAATGTATCGTAATACAAACAACTTCCCCATCTTTCAATTACCTTGATAAAAACTTGATATACGTATAAAGCTTGACAAATCGAAATATTTTTGAGTAAGCTTTGATGTGGCCCGTTTGAGTTGTTGTTGGTGTCAAATGAAAGATGAGGTCCTTATCAATACATTGGACATTCTATAAAATTCAAATGTGAGTCTTTATTTTGCCCCAAAATATTGAAAATAAACAAAGCCTACAAGTATCATTGTTAGTACAGTGCAGTTGTCAGAATTCCCGGGCGGGCAATACGCAGGGCTTCATGTCTTTTATTATCCTAAAATTGAAGGAGCTAATGGTATTTTTGATCACATGGTACCGAATCGGCCAATCAAATTAAGACAATCCTCAGACAATTGCTGACCTAAAGAAGGCAACCACTTCGAAATGTAATGCCATAATAAGGGTTGAATGGGGTAAGGGCAAATGGCAATTTTGCCATATGAATCCAGCTCTGCCTTTTGCTCAATTGCGGCCATTTGGAGCATGTAATGTAAGTGATCACAGTTCCTGAACCAGTTGACTGGTTATATTGATCCAGGAACAAATTTCCATAGGACTGTTCTGGTGTGTCCAAAATTTCATAATGTCTCTTGTCTAGTTTCGGAGATATTGTCTACTTCGATCAGTGGTCTCCTTTTTTCCGGTCACCCTGTATTTGTTTAATGTCATATCAGATTAAGATGGAAATAAAATTTTTAAACATTTGAAATCTTTTTTTGCTATTTGGAACCATATTGTTATACTGTTTCTAAATGCTTACACACATATGGACTCATGAGTGACACTTGTCAGAAAATTGTACTAATGATTCAGCAACTAGAATTCAAGTACTTATGAGGAAAAAATTATGTCTCGAGACCACAGTCCCAGCTTTCAATTAGGATGTATCTAGATGTCAAAAGCAGCTGATCCATGGATATACTATAGATCTCAGTTGATAATTGTAATAGAAACAAAAGATTTTGGGTCCCTGCATTTTTTACTAGCTGTGTAGGGAACAGGATTTTCAAAATGAATAGCCGACGTTTAACGTCATTTTTCGAAAATTGGCTTGTTTTTTCCCGGTCTTTTTTCTTCATTATTGAGAAACAAGAAATATTCTCTCGATACATGTCACCCAGTCATTTTTATTTCAAATATTTGATAACATGATTGCAGACTAGCACATTTAAAGTTAATGAAATTTCCTAGTTTGAACTAATGTCATTACTGGCGTGCCTCATACAACCCCGTCATACGTCACAGGTAAATTGATGTGTCTTATGTATGAACAGTGTAATATGCGTTTCAAACAATGTACATAATTATCCACTGAATTCCTTTTCACTCAACATATTTCATTTGATCACATTCTAATTTATAAGTCTTTATCTAAAGCTTCGAATTTGAATGGAAAGTCGAGACTTTGGATCCTACAATGATCCGGTATCAGTTTTATTACAGTCCTAAAGTTGACACTAATAGACATATGCACAATGATGTAAACGCTGTTGTTTTTGGAGCAACGCCATTTGGTTTAACATTCTCTCCTGAAATGAAAAAATTAAATAGTTATATTGAAGTGAGTGTGCCAATTTGAGGGCGGGGTTATAAGTAGGGTCAGGTATGAGTTTGAAAGATGATCATTTTACCATTTTAATATGGTGAATTAAACAAAAATGGTATTTGGGTGTACTTTTGGTACAGAGAAGGGAATACCCAAAGGTTCAGAGAATACCCATTTCTGAAAAAAGAAAGTTATTAGAGATGAAAAATCGTCCCTGATTGGTCAATTGATAGGAAGTGACGTAAACAAAGTTTCGAATTTTTTTTTTAAAACCCTTCGAATAATATTATGTTAATTTCTGGAGTGTAAACTTACCAATATTAAAGCTCGTTATTTCACGTCAAGATATAGAAAGATGTAAGGAATATGCCCAGCTCAATTAAAACAGGATATATCGACCTGAGGTATACTGAGGGATAGTTGAATTTGGCGAGTTTCAGTCATGTTAATTTTGAGGTCGCACTTTACGAATAACGTCAATTTCAAAGAGGCCACACTCTTGCCAAACTGCAAGCGATTCAAAATATATTCAAAAGATTTGTATTTATCAAAAGTATATCCTGTGGAAGTTAGCCTTCCGCAGAATATATCAATTTGAACAAGTAAAAATTACCTCCGATACACACAGCGCTCATTGCAAACCTGCAAGGTTGGTCATGAATGCTTCCATCTTGGTACAGCGCAGCGCAAAATTCTACCACGTCACCAAACTCATTCGGCTCTGCATTCCATGTCCTTTAATATGCATCCATGGCATGAAAAGGTAATATAGCATAGCACTCAAGTAGAAAATATTAGACATAATATTATAAAATTATAACAGAGGAAATTCATTGGTCTTGAACAAGGGTCTGTTAGGCCATTAAGAGAAGTCTGGACTCAATTTATTCTCTACAAAATAAATAGACCCTTTCTCAAATGATACAGTTATGTACCAATAGGTTAACAAACAGCTTCATTTCAGCCCAGCTTAAACTGATTAGAAAATATAAAGCACATACACAGTTGCAGGATCGACCGGTGATCCATCGGCCCATTTCCATGGTCCGAGCACTCCACCATTTGGTAAGTTGTTCATACCAGTGTACCAACCTTTGCCAACATTTGGGTATTTTAACGCAAGTCTGGCTATTTGGTCGCGCATATATTGCTGGAAAATCAAGTATTAGGACTGTGAAGATATAATCAAAATAAACTTTAACGTCTTTATGATTTTATAAATGTCATCACCGATGTGGGACAAAGGTCATTTTGATGCAAATACTGGTATCTGAAAATCTCAGTAAATGGAACATCAACGAGTATACAAATTTGAATTGAAAAGCCTCCATTCAGGGAAATCTCTAGCTTCAAATCACGTGACATACATTTTCATCATCAGAAGTTATCCAAAGTAGGTCGGCGCCGACTTGCCTCCCCTGACAGAAAATTCTTGCATTCTGCCACGTCATAATATTTGCATCAGAACGATCACTCAGGAAATAACAATTATCACCACCTCGCCACCATCCGGGAATACATACAGACGCTGAAATAGAACAACAGATTTGCTCAAATATGAAATATGTTCTTGTCCTTGCGATTGATCGGCATTTCAAATAAATCTCGACTTTTTTGATTGACTGGAAAAAGCTGAGTATCTTGGCTGTATTTCTTTAATGTATAATACTGCCAGGCAGCAATGTAAGCCATCATTTCGTGAAGGATTTCTAATAAATCTCAATCTTTTTTGATGAACTGAGAAAATTTGATTATTTTAGCTATAATTAATGTATAATACTATCAGGTAGTAATGTTTGCAATCAGTACGTGAAGGATGTTTTTGAAACGTGTGTCTGCTCTGAAACTAAGTATGACATCATAAACGATAAACGACACGATTTAGGCCTACTGGATTGGCCTAAGTCAAGCTAGCCATTAGTCACGGTCATCATGTAGTTGCGCATCGCCTTCTAGCATATTTAGATATTTGAAAAGCACCCTTTTAATGTGGCATAAAACTGTGGCAGATATCCTCCAATCGTGGATAAAAAATCATATCAATTGCTCAGATTTTTAGTAGGTAGTTACCAGTTTCGCCACCAAGTGGCTGATTCGGGGGAAATAACACGGCAGGGTATTACAAAATTCCGTTAAACTTGAATATGTATCAGTTTTAGTGGTTCACTTTTCATATTACCCTTATGTATGTGATAGTTAAAAATATTAAAATATGTCCAGTAAAAGGAAATATTAATTATCTGCCCAACACAAGAAAAGAGATATCGTTTTTTGTAGTTTTACAACATGGAGTCTATGGGGAATCTCCCCGATCTAGAAGTCACATTTTCAAAGAAAATTAAATTTTCAAATTTGATAAACTCTTTTCAAAACCACATTTTTAGATGTAATTTTATATGTAGATTCCAAATATGACACCAGTTTGACTGAATTGTGAATTTTTAATGACGTTAATCAAGATTATTTCTACTGGCATCAAGGATATTATAATTCATTACCATTAGGTTATCTATAAAAACATTTGGATTTGGATTATGGACGTACTATACTTACGCAAGGGGGAAACGTATTTACATATGAACCCTTGTTTAGTATCACATCCTACATCATTGAATACACCATTTTTACGCATCTCGGCGCAATGTTCTCCGCCACCCCAATTATTTGGCTCTGTGTTCCAATTTCTAGAAAATAACAAACGTTGGTACACTATTCTTTAAAAGGTCGTCGACGACCCAGATAAGGAAGTTAAGGTCGCAAAAGATGTGACGGTGAGGGTTTACGTCATGCATGCATCATATTGAATGGAAGGTTTTTCATCATGTGTGACTCAGGCCCGTAGCCCGAACCCTGCGAACCCCCCCCCCCCCCCCTGGCCAAAAATTCTTTCAAAATCATGCAGTTTTTCACCATTTTGAGCACTTCTCAAGTGATTTTAGCCACATTTGGGCCAAAATTGTCAAATGTGAACCCCCCCTGGAAATTTTTGAAAAATGAACCCCCCCCCCTTGGCAAATCCTGGCTACGGGCCTGTGTGTTTCGTGTGTTTCGACACAACACCAAGACGTTAAGAGCAATCGACCAACAGTGAGCCGTACACAATAGTCCACCGTCTGTTGTATAATGAAACCTCATCAAGTAATGTTGCAGTTGGCCAAATCTAAATGAGAAATAGGGTTTTGTTTACCTGAGTTACGATAGATCGTATTTTAATGACAAATTACAATGATAACTTTGGAAAATCGTGAAACACAGACAGGCTTAAATACATGGTCCAATGGAGAAATAAGGGTTTCCAAACGTTTTAAGGGGAGTGCAAATTACATTAATTTCGGATCTGCCGTAGTGCCATCTGTCCACGCCCATCCGTAACACCTCGAGGCTTGGTCACGGTCGTTTAGCCCCGTCCACCACCAACCGGGACTGTTCATCGTTTCCAGCTGGCCACTCACGAAACTCTACAAGGGATCCATCTATCATTAATCAAATACAGATTCAGGGGGTTTAACGCATTTCAAAAAGTAGAAGCGCCTCATCGTGAAGGGGTGATTTACATCGAATAGGGAATATGCCTTATCTGAAATTAACCAAATGATTAAGAGGGCCTCGTTGTGAAAAACGAGCCTTTGGGAGAATAAGCCGATAAAGGAGGAGGGAAATTAGCGCAAAAGATTTTGGACAGTCATATGTTGGATTTTGGCCATTTTTCTGAGGATTTAAACAATTGCATATGTTAGGCCAATGCATTACCTCCAGGAAAATCACTTCTAGAGATGATAAAATAATTTCGACTTTGAGACAGGGTAGATGCAAACAACCCACCCACATGATTTTTCTGAAATGTTTTCCTAATTTTCGACCCCTTCCATTCCTGCTTTTTTAATTTTTCTTGCATCAATATGTTGCATTTTGACACATAGTTAACCACTTTAAAGGAATAAGTGATTCCTTCAGGGGTTTTAAAGATACCCATTATGGGTGACCAAACTTAGCTGAAAGCAATGATTTTTCCTATGGGAAAATAACATGGGAAATATTGTTATTTATTCCTTTTAAGGGATTAACTGTGTGTCAAAACGCAACATATTGATGCAAGAAAAATTAAAAAAGCAAGGATGGAAGGGGTTGAAAATCAGGAAAACATTTCAGAAAAAACATGTGGGTGGGTTGTTTGCATCTACCCTGTCTCAAAGTCGAAATTATTTTATCATCTTTAGAAGTGATTTTCCTGGAGGTAAAACATTCGCCTAACATATGCACCTGTGGCCGAAATCAAACATATGTCTGTCCAAAATCTTTTGCACTAACTTCCCTCCTCCTTTGAAAAAATGAATTTAAGAGCACGGTTTGTCTTGGGCCTCCTTTAACTAGGGCGCAAAATCCGTAACAGTGATTCTTACGGCTATAGTTTGTGTTGTAAATTGGACTAGATCGCCATTTCCAATAGTTGTTGAACAATATAATCTAGCTTCATCCCAAGTGGCCTCCTGTTGGACAAACTGAAAGCACATTCCTGCGCCTGCCACCCAGGTAGGTGGACAACTTGTCCCAGGAGCTGAATATGCAACAAAAATATTTGACGTGAGAGAGAAGTTTGCGAGCCTATTTCACCGTTCAATATTAATAAATAATATCAAGGATTAAGACAGGACTCGATGAGCTACATGTATTTTGGAGATTTTGCATGAAGTTTCTTGTTGACAGCTTATTAGTTTCTTGTTACTGTTTACGTTGGGCCAACTTCTAAGAATGACACACAGCAAATAATCAGCTGCAGACTGTGTGCTTAACAGTATTCACAGCCGTTTTTTATGACATTTACTATATCAATTATTGATAAAGTTAGTGCATATAGTGCATTACTTCTGGGACAACCCTCGTATAATTTTCAAAAATTCAAAAGATGCAACGTTTATCTTTATTACGGTTTCCATTACTATCCTTTCTTAGGCTAGAAAGCGGCGATGCCTTATGCATGTAAATGTGAACATATGTAATTGTGTTTTGTGTTCCTTTAATATTATCCACATGTATATATTTAATTCTTTTTTGCCTTACCTTGACATATAAAATTTTGTCTGGCGTCGCAGTCCTCATCTTCAAAAGTATTATAATTATAGATGACGCCACAATACTTGGAGGCTCCGAAATTATTGGGTTCAACTGACCAATCACTGAAACAGAAATGAAATAACTGACAAATAACAGGCACAGCAATATAAGAGTAAATACTGCCAAACGATCAGATTCATGAACACAGAGAACAATAATGTCTGACCGATGTACGCAAGGATAGAAACATATCGTTTGTATTTTGGGTGTGTTCTTCAATTTCGAAAATCTATGACTTTAATGATTTTTCAAAAATCGTATCCCTTTAATGCTTGATCCATAATATGACGTCTGGTCGCAAAACTGATGAAGGGGAATGTATTTAGTTCTGTTACATTAATAAACTTAGGAGAGCAGTGTATGTATGTATGTATTTTACATTAACGCTCCTGCAACTGCCCCGGGCTGACCGTCAAGCCATCGCCAGGGCCCTGTGTCTCCATTGGGAAGATCGTTTAGTCCGGTCCACCAACCGCAACAAGCCGGTCTTGTTTTCCATAGATTGCTCACTTTGGCCTTTATGTAATCCTAGAAAATAATGTCACTCTACTATACCTAACCCCTAGAAATGCATAAGATACTCTGTTTGTCTATTGTATTGTTTAGTCTATTTTTGAAAGTGTACCTTATTAACATATAAAGGTGATCCGATAAACCATTAATAAGGAACAGACAATTTAAACAAATAACATAATCATTACTAATAAGCCGAATGGGTTGCTCATGAACACCAAATGTAAGGTATAGTAGAGTGAATATACTGGTAAGTGTATTTTGATAGGCGGGATACAATCCATGCCGAGATGGAAATATGCATTTCTATTGGTGTTTCAATTTCCAGCAGGTCCAGTGAACGTTGATCCATGGACCCCAATTAGATCTCTATTTTGGTTTGGAACCCTGGCAGGAAAAACTCACCGAATCCGAAATGAGACATTGAAAGAAATCATAAAAATTGTAATGTACTTAGGAATCGAGTCACATATATAGAGCCTACCGTTTCCTCCGGGATATCAAAGGTCAAACGTAACACATCCATTGCACTATGAATGAAACGCATGTATTTAGTTTTACCTTTTCATCCGGGTCTTCAATTGTTACAAGGTCAGAACCTGGCATCATGGCGTTACATGCCACTCTAGCATCCGCCCAAGTTTTACGGAAGTCCGCTGACCTCGGACTGAAGTAGTAACACTTAGCTCCTCGTTGGTCCCATTCGTCAGGACAGACAGTCTCCCCTAGAACGAAACAGCAAACTGTGACATAACATTTACAAAATGTATATATTTTTGGGGTTTATATCCATGAAGGAATGAGATTCATACAAACCTCAAATTACTTAATAAATCGATTTAAGGGATAATCAACTGTTAGGCATGGGTTCTACCGGGAGGGGGTTATATATTCTGTACCTTAATCTGATCCTCTATTCTGTATACTAGTATCTTATATGGTTTTGCAGATTTTACGACATTTTCTTGAAATACCAAAGTTAATACATAAAGGAAGATCATGAGGTTTCGTTAGCTGAATATCTAATGATATAGGGTTAGTATATGTATACCTTATATGTTAATGGATTACCCTCTAAAAGAGACACATAGTTTAGAAAAAAGGAATCTTTCGCTGACATTGGTAAAAACTTGGCATTAACAAGAACGCTGAAAAGTACCAATAGAAGTGCTTTATGTAACATATTCACCCACCTCTCTTTAATGTATACTCGCAGATAAAGGCTAGAGTTCTTTCACATTTATTGTCGTTGTAGACGCCATTCTTTACGATCTCAACGCAGTGTTCTCTGCCCTTCCAGTTGTTTGGCTCGCTACTCCATGTTCTACAACAGAAACATCGCATACTTTAATAGTTTTGGAAATAACCCATAGATGAATGTTGTTTGTCAAACAGGCTTATTTACATCTTGCTAAGAGCCCCTTCTCAACCCAAATGATGGATTGAGCATGCCATTATTGGTCCTGCCTAGTCTGAAGCAAGCTAAGGCATTGCTACGGGGTGTCTAATTCCACGGCGACCGCATATTGTGGAGTTTAAGGTGCATATAAAATCGAAACGCCAACCTATACGTATGACCAATCGCCCATACAAATGCATCGCTTTTATATTTTCGGTTCACGTTTAGGTTGTGAAAAACATTGCAAGCTTAACTTCCCTAATATTGAAACTTATCAGTTATTACCTTACGCATACACAAAATCAAGAATGAAATATAAACAGGCGCACGCACGCTATCCCTCCATGAGGGATTTTATGTTACCAAACCCTTGCAGGGACCTTATGTAAATACCGTACACGTAAGAGGTGTCTGTATTACTGTCTCCCCATCGCCAATTGGTCTGACACGATGATGTATCTTTAGACAGTCCCGTCCAATGGAATTTATCTCCATACTGAGCGACTTGGCTTTCTACCAATGTCTGCAAATGTACATAATGTTGCAGTTATGTGCAGTTTTGCCACTCAACCTATTGTCCAGCAACAGCACGGCCTTTAGCTATTCACCACTCATTTCAGTGTTTGGCCATTGAATGCTTTTGGCAGCTTCAACAATAAGTAGTTCCAATATAAAATTAATGTCAGATTCTCCTTCATTTGAATACATTTATATATGTACATGATATTAAATACTTTGCTATATTTCAAGGTACTACCACCTCCGTAGTTCAATTGTAATCAACCATGTACAGGGGAAGGGAGGGGGGGGTAACTATTTATTTCGCTTTCATTTACAAATTAGTCGGTATTTAATCTAATCAATACACTATACCTTGATTTCTGGCGTGTCAATTTTAATTAGATCTGCTCCGAGTTTTTGGCACGTCTCCCTAGAGTCTTGGAAACTACCGGGCGTATTAAGGAAGGCGATACATTTCCCGCCGCTTCCCACCCAGCCACTTGGGCAAGTCTGTCCGAAAACTGCATGTTGGTAACAGAACATAAGTGTAAGTATAAAACATATGAGCGACAAATTCAGAGTCACTAACTTCCAACATTGCGTTCAACACTTATACAGTTATAAAAGCTCAGCATCTAATTAGAACATCATTAAGTAGAGTACTAATGTAGGGGTAGATAAAAGCATTTTTAGTATCTCAACTGAAATACTCCATTCTGATTGGTTGATAAGCGGTCAACAATATGTATTGTAAACAATTATGAGTAACGTACGTAATGTTACGTAATTTTTCAAATTTCTATTTGGCCCAGACAGGAGATAGTTTTTTTTGTACTTTATTTTCATTTACAGAGGGCTTAATGAACTTAATAAGCTCAGTTGTATAATAATACTTTCATAATTGTCATTTGCGAATCTATTTAAAGAAAGAATTAGATCTAGAATCATTTTGCACTTTGTTTCAGTCATAACTTCAGTTTAGGTTAACTTCAATTTATAAAATTATGCGAATGTTTTGGGAAACATCGTGTTTGAGATAATGAGGAATAGAGGGGTACGCCAATTTTACACTTTGCTTGCAATTTGTCACCCCTGTAGATTTGATTCTCCCTTTAAGTAAAACCAATGTTAATATAAAAACAGCAAAAAGTCTAACAACTGAACAAATTTATAAATAAATAAATATCAATGAACGTACATACCTCTATTTACAACCAATAGGAAGAGCACACACAATCCGACCATCACCATTGTCATAACATTTCTAATCTGACAATGATATTTATTGTGAAGTATATACTTTATATGTTATGTGTAGCATGTTTTTCTTGAGATAAGATAATTTTAAAGAATAGGTGCTATACAAGGAGGTACTAGTCCTTGACATATTTCGAAGTGATAATATAATTTAGACAACAATGAATAGGGAATGTATACGATCATGTTTTGTGATTGTACATACATGTTGTCAGTTCAATATATGTACTAATACCTTTTCTATGTCCATATATGTATGTCCATTTTGATATGTTTTGATAGATATAATCACACAACTGTTCATGGCTGTCTCATATTAAACTGGCTGTTTCTTATTTAGTATAAAATGGTCTAGTTTTACATGGGGATTTTAATATCATTGGACTATGCATTGTTTGATACAATATTGTCAAGTTACGTAAGGGCAAAAACAAAGTGTAGCCTTAGTTTGTATTATCATTTTTAGACAATCAAAGACTCATTTCAGGAAATTAGTAAACCATGTCAAGGTTATGATTATGTCATTGTAAACGGTACCCAATCTTAAAATCAACGTTGATGAAGACATTAAGGCTGCGTTTTTGAACTGCTCGCGGCGCAAGTAAATTACACAACACTTTGTATTAGCGAGCGACTAGTCGGCGCGGGTGTGCTTGGCGAGGTTGCACAGCGGTGTTAAGCGGTGTTAGTGCGCTTGGATGAGCTGTTTTTGTTGAGAGGGCACATAAAGTGCTAGTTTAAAAAGATTGATGGGCCGGTGAGCTTTATAGTTCAAGTTAAAATTAACATTAAGCACTAGAATATTTTCAAATCATTCGTGCTGCATCCATTTTGAGTAGTGTAATACTGTCCTCTCGTGTGCAAGTGCTACGTGTTTACAACTTTTACATTATATTACGAATCAGCAGATGCAGCGCGTGTCTCTGAAGGAACCCATGCTTCCAGCATGACACAGGTTTTGAATGCATTAAACAAACTGGTTACCAGTTACCACTTGAAACACGAAAATATCATCATAGAATGTATCTCATGTATATTGTGGCGGGAGTTATTTAAAATGAAATGTTTTTCACCAGTATGAAATCAATATGGTCAAAATAATAAATACTGGAAAGAATGGGCCGAGCGGAAACCCCGTTAATTAAAAATAAGGCACTGGAAAGATGATGTTGTGGCTTCGTCTTGTGTATGAAAGGATTTTGTATCGCTCTAATGGATGGAGTAATTTACTAATTGATGAGATTGAAATAACTGAACAAAAGAAATGAGCTAAACTTTATAACAATAAACAATAAACTTTATTTACCTTGTAGGCGTGTAAGACATGATTATTTCTGTGAATGTAATCGAAGTATAAATCCAATTATAAATCCAATACTAGTAAATCCAGTTACAAATGATCGTAATTATAATCCAAAGCCTTTAAAATCCAAAATCTTATGTAAAACTTGATCAGATGCCGAAATATTGGTATACGTATTATCACTTTCAGATACAAACTTGAGACTTTATAAAAATGGAGAAATTGAACCTCCTATCTCAGATACAAACTCAGGACTGACTTTCCCAACAAAAATCTTACGATCGTTCGAGAAATATGCAAATTAAGGGGGCGGAGACCAGCCCAAGCTGTCAACTTGTCAAACTAATTAAAACTTCAAAGTGACCCGTCCAAGATCTAAGTAAATTATTGATCGCTAAAGCTGGACAACTATTACGGCAGTGCCGACAAAACGAAATAATCTCAATTTACTCATGTTTTTCAAATTGTCATAACTCAATAAATACTAATCTGATTTACCTGGGGTAAAAACCATTAAAAAGGGGACACTCTGCTCTTTTTAACGCATATAAATGTTATGTTCAAAGTAAAATGTATCAATGTGTAATTAATGAACGAATATAATTAATAATAAAAATTGTGCTACCGCTACACATCCCCCAACTTAAGAAATATGTATGCCCTCATACATGCATGGTTATACAAAGAGGAGAAAGCGGTAAACAATTTTTATCAATGTACAAAAATGAGTAGCTCATAATTCAGCTATATGAATTTTCCTCAAGAGTAAAAATATCTGAAGTTGCACACTATGAGCAAAGAGCAGATTATCCTTTACAACAATCTAAAGTTTCAACTCATAATATAAAACTACATTCATAAGTCCTACTCAAAGCTTAAGTTATACTCTAATGAGAAAAATACATTTATCAGAACATCATGTTCTAAGTCTGCTCTAAACTAAAATAACTCCAAAATATAAATGAGGAAAATGTTTTGTTTCATTTTCCTCTTAAACTACTCCAAATATAAATTAATGAGGAAAATGAGGAGCAGGTAAGTTTCATATAAAAATGTTTCAATGAAAATTCTCCTCATCATATATACTTGTGAGTATTCTCCAAAACTAAAATAACTCCAAAATATAATTGAGGAAAATATTTTCTCAAAATGAGGAGAATGAGAAGTTTCATGAGTTTTACTCCTAATATCAAGAGGAGAAGGTAAATTGTTACAATCCAAATGCTTTTATCAAATATGCTCATGAGCATTTTCCAAAAACTTATGAAAAATACATGCTCACAAAGTAATAAGCAACAAATCATCAAAAGTAAATGAATGAAAATATTTTTCTCATTTTCTACTCAAACCACTCCAAAAATACAATTGAGGAGAATGAGGAGAAAACTCATAATCTAGGAAAATAACTAAAAAATTTTCAAGAGCCAGTAAAAGTTTCATACCAAAAACATCATAATAGAATGCTCCTCCTCAATTTACTAATGAGCATCCTCCAAACTCTCCAGAACAACTTACTTTAAGAAGATAAATATAAAATGGCAAACGATCATCACTCAATAACTGCTCAAATGTTCTCTTTTAAACTTCCTCATATTTAAAATGTATTCTCATTAGAGAAAAAGTTTATGAAAAAGTTCTCACAAGCAGGATAAAAAAGTGACAAATCATAAAGTACTCCAAAATACAGTATAAATGTTCAAATTATGTCAACAAAATGAGAAATCTACTTTTTCTCATGAGAATACATCAAAAACACCAAATGTTTATCATTACGCCAACTGAATCTTCTGCAGTTGCTCCTTCACTTCCGGTTGACTGGCGGTAATATAAAGTCTCTGGACCAGTTCATACATATTATCCATATTGTTCTCACCTAACTCCTTCTCTGGAGCAGATACATCCTCATATATGTCATTGTTTATATCCTTGTCATGGTTTGATGTTTTTCCCAATGGGACTTTATGGTCTTTTTTAGATACAGTGTCATTGTCACTATCAGAATCATACACAACATTAGATCTCTTGTTCTCTCTTTTCGATTTTACTGAGTCTATCTGCTCTTCACTAGTGTCTTTAGCATGTTTCTTTTTGGGTTTCTTCGAGTCTTTCCTTTTAGGTGCTCCTGATGATGAATGTGACCTTTGAATGTGGCGTGACAGATTATATTTGGTTGAGAATGTTTTATGACATATATGGCATTTATGACACTTACGCTCAATATCAGAGCTACTGGCATGTATATCAATAATATCAGGTAAGTCTTCATCAGACTCTCGATCCACCTTCTTATGAGCTGAAGATGTGGAAGAGAGTATCTCATGCCTTGTCACAGGCTGTGAAGTGTTAGACCTCCCACTAATCGAGTCAAGTTCATCAGTCACAATCTCTGGCGCTGATGTGGAAGTGGCATTTTGTTGGAGTACCGTCCAGTAGGGGTTCATCATAGGCATGGAAGACATCGGGGGTACAGCCCAATATGGGGAAAGGTTGGGGGAGAATTGCGAGTAATCAGGCCCTCTTTTCCTTGCAAAATCAAACCGACGCTTCTTTCTATGACCCCTGGAAATAAAACATGGCAATTCAGATGCTGATGAGGAGGATGAACTTTGAGCATCCACATCATCTTGAACACCACAAATAAAATCCTCAAAATGTTTAGGTGTTCTTTTAATTCGTTTTGACTTTCTTGAGTCAACTTTTTTCATGCTCCTTTCACACTCTGGAGGAGTGTCCTCTACCTTAGGAGGAGGAGGAGGATTTTTCACTTTAGGGAGCATTGAGGATTGCAATTGTATATCATTTGTTACCAGCTCTGATAACTGTGGCTCATTAGGCTCACTCTGATTATTTTCAGACACTGGTTTTTGCACATGCGATTCTGACCTCAATGACCTCTCAATAGCCTCTCTTTTCTCAAAGGAGGAGGAGGTTGAGGAGGAGGAACTCCTGTTTTCATTTGTATTTTGCTCTGTGCTCATGCTCTCACTCTCGTCTCTACAAGAGGAGGCAACCATCATTTTTCGTGAATGGTATTTTATATAGTCATTAATATCCATAGACTCATCTGAGTCGTCACTCTCCTCTACCATTGGGATATCTACCTCCCTCTCGTTGTAGAGAACATCAGAGTTGTGCAAGGATTTTCTGTCCTCACCTACCACACAAACTCGGGGTGTAACTTTATTCAGTACATCTCCATGGCAATCAGAGGATGGCTTGATTGCCAATTTTCGAGCAGGGTAGTTTATATTAAATCCCTGCTTAGACATACAGTCTGAACCAAGTATGGCTGTGGCTCTTAAGCTAGCCACTATAACAGGCGCATTAAATACTGTGCCATCAATATTAATGGAGCAATCAATTTCTCCATGGATACGAAGTGAGGAGCCATCAGCCTGTCTAAATGCGCATTTTGACTTGCACAGACTTGGTCTATTTTTCATTGGTATATTTAGGTATTCATCAATATCTATCATAGTTCTGACAGCACCCGTATCAACTAAAAACTCCACTGGGTGACCACATACCTCAGCTTTTGCAACTATGCGCTTTATTTCATTAGGAGTTTTTGACTCTACAAAGCTGATAGGAGCAATTTCAGAGGAGTTCGTTTTCTTTCTTTTATTGTCCTCTCGAAAATGGCATTCAAAATTAAAGTGCCCTTTCTTTCCACAATGGAAACAGGTCACTTCAGCTC